ACTGAATTTTTCTGTTACTATCAAATACCATTAAAGCAAAATTACAAAATTAGACCCTCCCTCACAAGAAACAAAATTTTAAGAATTTATTAATCACTCTAATCGATTGCAATAGGCTGCCAACATAGTTAATTGAGAGTCGATAATTCAAAGAGCATTTCATTTTATTTTTGTCCAAAGCTGAAAGCAACCTTACAAATCAACACATAATTTCATAATCACACACATGATCCAAAATCAAAGAGAGATACCATTTTAATGGAAATATAAAAAAATAAGATGTTTGGATACAATTGAAAATCAAAAAATAAAAGTACATGAAGCACCAGATTTAAAATTAGATTCCTCATAAGTACAAATAATTCTTTGAGACTACGCTTTCATGAGTACAAATAATTCTTTGGGAGCTCCGAGAATTAGTGGGGTAAAACCATGTATATCTCGATTGCGAGAAATATATATAATGCAACTAAAAGAGCATAGGCAGATTTAATAAGGCAATCCCCACAAAAATCTATAAACTCTACCATGTTTGAAGGCTTTTCTCTTAAAACAGACTTTAGTAGTACTACACTTATCTGTTTCCCATTGAAAACTTTAAATCACCCATTAGCTGTTTTGATTTTGATTTTGATTTTGATTTTGATTCCTTTCCTAGTGCAAAGACATGTAGTATCCGTATTCACCTTCACATAAAGGTGGTGTCTTTGGTTTGATTGTAGTGCCAGAGTTTTGGACCAAAAAAATCAGATCCACCTCAAAGAGAGAGAGAGAGCTCTCTCATGTAGCCTTTTCAAAACAGAGCAAAATACAAAGAAATATTGTCAGTGTTCCCTCAACCTCTTCACTCCTCATTTATGAAACCTGTCTTTCTTTATTTATTTGACATCAAAGCTCTATCAAGTGAAATTCTCAACTCAACTCACAATATTATATATATATATATATATATATATATATATATATATATATATATAATATGTTTTTGGAGTAAGTGTTGTGATTCTGTACACAATAGGAGATTATTTATTATCTATTATTAGAAAATCGAACAGATAAAATGAGAAACTTTGGGAATACCCCCCCTAAGGTAGTGTGTTTAATTGTGGCATTCATATTAAGTCATCAATTTAATATGTATGTTCCACAATATATTTATATATATGCACGGGTGTAGAATATATTAGATAAAAAAGTAGTGTTACTCTTCAATTTATACAAAAAGTAATGTTACTCTTCAATTTAGTTCTAACTTCTATTTCTACTTTGATTCCAAATAATGCAAAGAGGTGTCATATTCTGATCTGGTATAGAGAATGCTACTCAAAACCTAATTCTCAGAAAGCTTAATTTCTCTATTAAGCTCTCCTCTTCGCACTTCTTCAGCTCTCACGGCTGTTGGGGAAGTTTTTAAAAAATCGGCAAACTCTCTCTCATCTCCCAGAGAAATGCTGCCCAGAATTGACGAGAGTGGCAGGTTTTGCAGCCCCAGAGCCGCCAGAGAGATCACCTTCTATGTCCCCCTCTTACCAATTTTTGTTTTTCTGTGTGTGTATATATATAGAAAGTTCGGGCTATTTGTTTTGGTTCTTTGATGGGTTGAAAATTGCTTGAATTTCAATGTCAGGATAATTATTTATGCGGCGTGTTTGGAGGGTTATGACCCAATTCGGCTATTCAAGAAGAGAATCAACGCCCGAAGAGGTATTAGTATTACCAATGCTATGTCTTGTTTTATGACAATATGTTTATCTTCGGAGGAGTTTTTCTGCATCCCTTTTGATAAAACTGAATAAGTACTTAATTTATTTATTTATTATTATTTATATAACTGGTGTTTAGATAACTACCTACTGCTTTATATTTTCTCTTTTTCATCTCGTTAGAAACTAAATAACTTCCAAAGCATCAGTCTTGGACAGAATTTTGATCGAAATTTACTTCTTTCTTTCATTCTCTCTTTCTTTTCCCGTAAATACAATTTAGACGTAAAGGTCATATAACAGTTTTCCCATTATTGTTCGTGTCTTGTATTTTCAACTGAATTTGGGCTTAGGTATAAAGCAGCTTGCACTCTTCACCGGTTGGGGGGGGGGGGGGGGGGGGGGCGCGGGGGGAACTTGTAAGCATATCTAGAAATTTGTTGTTTAAAACCATTCAAATTTCATGAACAGATGGTGAAGAAATCTTTTCCATTTCTGGTCATTGCATGGCAATATCTTAGACTAAATTTTTTAATCGTTTAAAAATGTTAACATATTCAATCAGTCTACTAAAAAGAATTATTTATCTAATTTATTTAAATGTTGGTAATTATCAGACACCAAGGCCATCACTGACATGCTCTAAAATGCTATGTTTCCCTAGTGAAAACATTTACCAAAGACTTCCAACCTTGTAAGCTAAGGCACAAATCATAGCATAACCATGAAGATTTGTTACTTCATCTATAAGGCACAAACAGAGTAGCTTCTTCCCTTTTGTTTTATATTGAGAACTAAAATCTTTATTAGTGATTCTTAACACCCAAGATATTAATCATGAAATTATTATAAAGCATTTTCATTTAATTGAACCAAACTCAAATTTTATATTTAATTACATTTCAACCACTAAACCACAACAAATATAGTATGTATGAAAAACTTGTTTTAATTTAATATTGTAGAACCAATACTAGTAATCTTAAACAATTCTTTTACTAAGCAAATGCAAATGGGAATGTAGATTTCACAAACATTTGATAACAAGTGTCCCTACCCAAAGACTATCACATGCATGCCTCTTTACAGTTTACATTCATTGATTGTATCATAAGGTCTCCAGAGCAAATGACTTATGAAGATAGGATTTAAGCTTGTTACCTTGGCACAAGCTAGTTAGCTAACTAGTGAAATCCAACAAAAAGCCTGTAGGCACCACACGTACTGCCACTTGCTTCCACATGGTCCTAGTAAATTTAAAGAACATGAATTATTTGGATTTAGGGACATTGAATCTCTACTATACACAGGTAGGCATTAACAGTACAATGTTTAAGTTTTAAGATCAGATTAATGTTCTATAAAAAAAAATTCAGCAGGTAACAAAGGACATGCATGGAAATTTGTTTTTTATCCTGTTTAATTATGTTTTCTTCAGCAAATTCCGAGTATTTTAAGTATGAAAACCCATGCTAGTGGAAAGATTGTAGGATAACATTTGGGATTTCAGTTCAGTCAACGTATAAAGAAAGCATGAACTCTTCAAAAACAAGCAAACCTAATTACAAAAGAAGAAGAAGAAAAATAAAAAATAAAAAAAAAACATTTGATTAATTAAGTATCTACTTTATGAAAATTTTGCCTTTGTTGGTGGGATAAAACTGAGTTTTAAAAATTAATTTTGTCACGCACAAGAGAGCAACATTTTGTTACGCACATTTCAAACATATACAACAAACAGAGCAACAACAATCTTGATTGCAGAATAGAAATTATATATATATGATTGCATAATAGAAATTATAAGAGGAGAATATATATAAACATAACCTCCATGAAAATCAGACATCCAATTGGAAAAAAAAAAAAAAAAAAAAAATATTATAACACTAAATCAGGACCATAATCATCTAAAATATAAACGTGTGTGTGTTAAGAGGGAGAGAGTACTTACCATATTACTAGAACAACAATAAATGAATGGCAGAAGTGGAGAAGTGCTTCGCTGGGTTACAGAGAGGGTGCACCAACGACGGTTAGACGTGGAGAAGTGCTTTGCTGTTACAGAGGGGGAAAGAGAGAGGGCTTGAATGAGGGTTAGGGCTCAACGGCTACGCTTCAATCCTGTTACAGAGATGGGGGGAGAGAGAGAGAGGACTCTTAAGGGCTCTTCACGAATGAGACGAGGGAGGGTTAGGGTTCCATGTTCGGTGATGCTGTGTTTGCCTGGGCTTGCTTCGCTGGATTTGTGACTGTGTATTTTAGGGCAACAAGTTGAGTGACTAAATTAAACGGGGGCAATAAGGTAAATGTGCTGGAATAGTGAGAAGGGCATTTTAGGCACCACATGTTTTAAACAGTAATAATTCATGTGCCATGTCATCAATTTAGTCAACCTCATTTTTAAGAAATATGAGACTTTGACTCAGCCTCTTGGTAAATATGAAACTCTAACCCCATTTATATGTAATAATCCCTTTTTTAAAAATGTATATGCAAGTTCATAGAATTCAAAACAGGTGCATGCAAGTCCCTAGAATTCAAAAAAGGTACAGAATTAGACCCTCTGACATAAAATAAATTTAAAAACCCTAATTTGCCCTTTATCTTCCTACTATACCCTTTTGTTGAGTTGACTAAGTGTGTCATCAAAGCCGCATCACAGACCCAAATTTGTTGAGTTGACTCACTCACAAACCCATTATGCCTACCGGCCGCCACATCATTGCCCCACGGTACCACCCCCATACCCAAAGCCACCACCCCCATACCCAAGCCATCACTGGTTGCATTTCTACTTATCCAAAAAAAATAATAAAAAAACAAAAATAAAGGGAGAGAGAGTGAAACTGGGTTTGATCCAAAATCCCTCTGGCGATGTGCAACGTCGGCGAGCGAGGATTCTAATCGGCAGCGATGCAGGACGGAACCACGGGCAAGGACGGCCGTGTTCTGATCTTACCGGCGTTCCCCGTCGAGCTCCTACTTGTTAGCCGGAAGCTCACTATAACAGGCACTTGCTCATGGGATATCCAGACCCTCTTCCATCTGAAGCCGGCGGAGTTGTTTCATGGAATATAACTTGTTCGTCAAAGATTTCACCATGTATAAGCTTTCGAGTTTCTTCCAAACATCTCTCCTCAATCATATTGTATACGACCTCGTCTGAGAGATTGATTCGGATGGCACTTGCAGCTTTTTCGTCCATTTCCTTCCAATCTTCTTCGCTCATCTTTTCGGGCATTTTCTCTTTTCCTTACAGCGCCTTATGTAATCCTTTTTGTACGAGGAGATCCTTCATTCTCCGTTGCCAAAGGAAGAAGTTTTTCTTCCCATTAAACTTATCTGTGAACTGAAATTCAAGAGGATTAATAAAAACACTCAGAAAGTTCCAGTTCTTTTTCTGAACTGATCTCTTCTAAACACTCTCATATCAAACCATGAAATTCTCTACCTATTTGTAACCAAAAAGCCATGTAAATTGCAGCTTTATATCTTCAAGTGTGGACTACTCTGTGCGGACCTGTGGAAACTGTAATCTCTCTCTAATAGCTTTGTCTTCCAACGAGCACGTCGGTTTTGGAACCAAATGGCAACCTGTCGCGGTTGGAGACCGAGTTCAGCAGCTAATTTTGCTTTCCTCTCTGGCTCAAGCTTGTTATCTACCTCGAAAATCTTCTCCACTGCCTTCACTTGACCAGAACTCAACCACCTTTTCTTCCCGGCAATTTTTTCTTCTAGATAATCTTCTTCATCTAAACCATCTAGTATTGCCTGGAATTCCCTACTGTCGACGGCATTGTTCTTCGGATTCATCTCTGCATTGACAAACAAACAGAGAGTTAACAAATTTCCTCCAAAATTAGAATTTCACAATCGATAGAGAGAGAAAAGAAATAGAATATCAGAGCAGTACTAAATTAAAAGAAACCCTGTTACTCAGCAGACCAAAACAAACATGTACCATAGAATTAAACTTTCTTTTTCCTTCTATTATTTCCTCTGTTTTCTAAGCAGCCAAACAGAGAGAATGTGCTTAAATGAACTGAAGTTCACCGAGAGAGACGACGTAAAATGGTAAAGGACCTAAAATGGTAATTTTACATTGTCTAATTTTTTTAATAATATTTCATTTATATTAGAGAGGGTATTATCGTCATTTTACACGATCAGGACCCAATCGCACCAAATTGATAGTGTAGGGGTTTTGTTTTTACCACACAGGGACTGATATGTACTATATGGATAGTAGAGGGGGGTTTTTTGCACTTAACCCTTTTAATTTAGATTTTGGGTTCGAGAAAATAACTCAATAGATTAATCTATTACAGTACCATATAAAAAATAATTTAATATTAATTTTTATTTGATTAGTGCATTTAAGTGTCAAATAGTTCAAAACTATCTAATAATTTCTCTATTTTCTCAAAAGAAAAAAAAAATATTAAAAAATTCCTAACCAATTATTAGTTAACATACATATAGACTGTCATTCTCATTTTTTTGTTTGGTTGTAAATATGAAATGTGTAGGAATGGAACAATAATAATCATTCTATTTTTTGGTTTGACCAATTTAAATTTTAGAATGGAATAAATTTCAAATTGAATTCTCCAAAATATCCCTCTTAGTAACAAATAAATTAAATTAACAAAATGACATTTATAATAATTTTTTAACAAAAAATGGTGGTGGTGGTGGAAGGTAGCGGCGGTGGCAATGGTGGAAGGCGGCGGTGGTGGTGGTGGTGGAGGAAGGCGGCAGCGTGTTAGTGGAAGGGGGAAAGCAGTAGAGGTGGCGGTGGTGGAAAGTAGTAGATATGGCGGTAGTAGAAGGTGGTGGTGGTGGGAAGTGCTGATGATGGTAGTGGTAGAAGGTAAAGGTGGCAATGGCGGAAGGCGATGGCGGTGGTGGTGGAAAGCGGTAGTGGTGTTGGTTGGAGGGGTGAGCAGTAGTGTGGTAGTTGTTGTTAAAGGAAATAGTGGTGTTGGTAGAAAGGCGTGAAAGCCAATGGAGGTGATTGTGGCGGTGGCGGTAGTAGTGGAAAGCAGTAAAGGTGGTGGTGGGAAGTGCTGATGATGGTTGCGGTGGTGGGTGGCAGTAGCGGTGGTGGTGGTGGTGGAAGGCGGTGGAGGTGAAAGGTGGTTGTGGAAGGTGGTGATGGCGGTGATGGTGAAAGGTGGTGGAGGCGTTGGTGGTGAAAGATGGTGGTGGTGTTGAAAGGTAACAACGGTGGTGGTGGTTGCGGCAAATGAAGGCAGTGTCGGTGGTGAAAAGAGGTGGTGGTAGTGGTGATGGAAAGCGGTGTGCGATGGTGAAAGTCGGTGGTGGCTGTGGAGATGGAAGGTGGTGGTGGTGAAAAACTGATGTAATTGTGGTGGAAGGTAGTGGTAGTTTTTGGACTTAGAATATATGGATTTTTTGGAAAGTTGATTTTTAAAAAAAATTACTTAGGAATGGAATAGCCATTCCATAGATTTAGTTGTGAAATGAATTTTCATTCTAATGGAATGATTATTCCCACTTTAAATTGCATACCAAACAAATAATTAATTAAAATGGACATTTAATTCTATTTTATTCCTATACACCTAACGTAGCATGAATCATAGCAACAAATACATAAAAAATTATTTTTATAAGCAATATGCTTTGCGAGTGAATTGGCACAAAAGGAGATTCAGGTTAATTGTTCAAAATTTATAAGTCTAAAAAGAAGGGAAAAAAATTGAAATTATTATTTCTTAAAGAAATTACAAGATTAGTTCTCATCAAATCTCAAGACAATGAATTGAAGAACATATAGTGTTTAGATTGGAAGTTTTCGGAAAGAGGTAAGGAAGTAGAAGAAAAGAATGGACCGGTGCTCAGTGCATCTAGAATGAGAGGATTGCATATTATGGAGTGTTATATAAGTCATATTGATAATATTTTTTTTAAAAAAAAAAAACCTTTATTTACAAAAAGAAATGATAAAAAAATAAGAGAGCTAGAGTTTAACTTGGTTCAATTTTATAAGAACAGTTTCTATAATCAGAACTGAAAATTAGAAAACAATCCAAATTTAGTTTGGTTAAAAAAATTATGAAAATTGCTATATGAAAATTAAGTTTAGAAAATGCATGAATTCAATTAACTATTTTTCCTTTTGTATAATTCCACCAAAAAATAAAAAAACACTAACGATACCCGTCTATGCTTTATTTTACAACTAGTGAAATTTGCCTTTTCTAAAAAAAATAATACAATTCTTTCCTTTTATCTCTCCCGTATCTATTACAAATAGGATAAAAAAAATAGTTATGATTGTCCTTTCCTTTTTCTTCACTTCGCACGCGCGCACGCAAAAAAAAAAAAACGTATTATCTTTTATTTCTTTTGACAAAAAAACATAAAACCTTCCTCAACTATTAAAAATTAGTATTTTATCTTTCTGTACTACAAAATCAAACAAAACGGTACCTCTATTATCAGAAATGTGCAGTTTGACCCCTTGACAGTTGCCCACGTGAGTGGTACTTTTTTTATAATTCCATCTTTGCCCATCCATTTGACCATTGTAGCCCTCTTTCATTCTTTCTCTTCTCTCTCCACCTGCCAGCACCTACCCTTCATCTCTCTCCATAAATAGACAGATCTATATATCCCTTGTATGAACACGATATATAAACCCACATATATATAAATATAGATACACAATCTCATTTTATGTTTCTTATTTTATTTATTTATTACTGTATTACTTATTTCTATAAATGTATATAAATATAAATGCACATTGTGTAAAAAAAAAAAACCTAACCCACTTTTGTTTCCCCCTTCTCTCTCTCTGCGCGATGCCGCCAGTGCATCCGCCTTCTCTCTCAATTTCACCACCGCTGCGAACTTGTCGGCAGCCGTATCTCCATCTCCGGTGCCGTGCTCTAACCCTAAACCTCAACCAAAGCACTGTAACTTTAGCTATGGTTGGAATATCACCAAGTAGCCGTCAAGTGGTGGTGGTGGTGGTCGTCATCAGAAACAAAGTCGCGAGGAGAGAGAAAACGAAGAGAGTTGAACTTATACAGTGTTTGATAAAAGGTATTATTGACGTGTGCTTCTGATCAACGCTGACTATTTTTTTGTTGATGTGGTCAGCTATGATTGGTCAGGAACCTAAGTTTGTCATAAAAAAAAAATTTATCCCAAGCTTGTCGTCTACAAGTCATGTCCAAAGTTTGTCAGCTACCAGAATTTTCATTCCCCAACTTCTATGATTTAAAATCCAAAGCTTTTGTACATAAAATTAATAATTCTAATTTTCCGTTTGGTTCCCGGAAAATTTGCCAGAAAACGAAAAGAAATACAAGGACTAAGGAATATGAATCTTGAAAAGAAAAAGAAAAAAAGAGGAGTTTTAGAGAGAGAATGTAATTTGTAGAGAGAGGGAGGGAGAGTACCGTCTGCAGGTGGAGTTTCCTTGGACAGACTACATATATAGCATGAGGGTATTTTACAATTTTAATTTTATTTGTTTTTTTTAAAATGTTAATTATAATGGACATTTTTATAAATGTACAAGGTTAGTACCGTAAATGAGCCGGAAAGAACTGTCAGGGGTGAAACTGCTCATCTTTGATAATAGAGGTATCGACTTGTTCGATTTTATAGTTCAAGGAGGTAAAATGCTGATTTTTTATACTTGAAAGGAGTTTTATGCTTTTTTGCCTTTTCTTTTTCCTTTCACATCTTTTTCCATATCTTTCTCTTTTCCGATTGAAGAAAAAAAAATTAACGAATAGATAGACGAGATACTTTGTAAGTTAAAAGGATAAGACAAGATTCCTTTCCTATGCCAATTTGAATCTGGCATCAATCACCAAAGCTAAGCCGTGAAACTTCAGGATTAAATTTTTATAAATTATTACTTATCAAAAAAAAAAAAAAAAAATTATAAATTATTAGTACATGATTTTGGCCAATCACGACACATAATAAAAAAATTAATTGATAATTATAAAAATGCTAATGTGTCGCTTTGTGATTGACTTAAACCATATAATAATTTCTCAATTTTTAATCTTTGTAAAAGGCAATTATAAGTGGTGTTGTATCTCATATAATTCTCCTTTTTCAAAACAAATCTATCATAAGCTTACCTTTTACCTAAAAAAAAAAAAAAAAATCTATTATATCCCCTTACGCACAAACATATGTACGGTTGGGAAGATGTTTTACCGCTATGGACGGCCCTGATTACTTCACACATCACTGTACATCATAGCCGAAGAGACGGGCAGGTAGGAAAAGAACAAGATTTGAAAGGTTTGTTTTCATAGATCACCTGCAGGCTTCAATTATCACTGCAATTTTATAGAATATAACAAGTACACACCTGAGAAGCACTTCACTAGTAGTTTAAGAAATAGCTGTCATACAAGACAAATAAAACATTGTAATTAATTCTAATAAAGAATAACCTCCATTAGGTTAGATTCAATAAAAAGACACAGAATATTAGCATGGTCCATGCGCAAGGATGACACATACAAATTGAGAAATGGTCCAAATATTTTACCTACCCGAAGGGGGAAAAAAACATAAAATTAACCCAAGAAACAATGATCATCTAGAAACTAAAGGGTTGAACAAGTCAAAAAGACAATCCCACAAAATCATTCTATTATATAAATACTGTTTTTCAAGTTTGCTTACATAATCAGAAGGTTACTTGGAACTGATCTTAAATGTCAACACCCAGAAAACAACTTGGCCATTGCAATTTTGAACCAAAATAAGATCAGACACGCTACGAAACTTGGGAATCCAAGATGAGGAAGTGGAATATTTGTACTGCTAGATCGGAAACTAGGAGTTGTAAGCTCCACCTCATAATATGTGATCTTGATGGTTTACCGATGGAACACATAAAGGAGGAGGAAAATTATACCATTGAAGTACAGATAGAATGGAGAGTTGCTAGGAAAAGTTACCTATCGAAAAGAGCTGTTGGAAGGAATCTCACCTCAAAACAGCAAATAAACTCTTGCGGATGTGTCCATTGGGAAGAAGGTTTTGAAAGAAACTGCAAGTTGAAACTGAAGGACTCCAAGAGTTTCAGAAGCTGGATCATTAACCTTGAGGTTCATGTAAGTACAAACTCCTGATAAGGTAAAAAATCTGCTTTGTTCATTTTTCTCCTTGATAAGGTAAACAATCTCAGTTTTCTAAGAACAATTTTCCATTTTTTTTATAACTGAAAATAAGAAAACCGTACAAAAAATCTGTTTGGATAGTTTCTGAAAACTCAATTAAAAAAAGGTTTGTTTTCATAGAATTGTATAATATGGTTCAGTTTTTTATTTCAGAAAACTGAACCAAACAGTTAGTTTCAATATTAAGTATGCAAATAAAATTTTAAAAAACAAAATAATTACCAGGGATCAGGTGCAGGATCAAACAGCACAGCTTCAGTTATAGCCAAACATAGAATGGATATTGCTGATTTTGCCGGTCCAACCGAAACTTCGGAGAAAATTGTCAGACTTCCAGTCAGGTGCAACATCGGTGGCTCCAATCTCGAGGCCAGACTAACAGTAAGTCGTACTTTTCTTCTTCTTCTTTTTTTCCAAGCTCAACTAGATCCTGCCAAAGTACTTGGACATAATTGAAAAATACTGTACTGCAGGTAAAACTCAGTTTCTTTGAATTCCAAACCAAATATATCAACAGCATTATACACCCTCTTTCTCCAACCAAGCTACTACCATCTCTATCATCATGCATAACTTTTCAGAGTCAAACCAGTAACAAGATGGGCAGCCCCACTTCAGAATCAGATGAGGACTCTGAGCCTAGCTACAGGAGCCTAGTTGCAACAAATCTACTCATCAGGGGCCTTGCAGATCACAAGCCTGAATATGGCACGGTTGAGAGCTGGGAGGAAGACCAGCCATTAAGTTACCAGACCATGCAGAAACCTTCTTTAGCCAGGCTACTTTCATGGAATAATATAAGGCCTAGTTTTAGTGTTCTGGATCCTCTCAGAGATGCACCACTGTTAAACAAAGCATATGGTGAAAATGGAGGGGATGATATTGACAATGACCGCCGCTGCCACTTATCACTCTCACAACCAGTACAGGATCAGATCAATATCGTCAATAATGATTTAAAACCTACTGGATTTGTGGACAGTGATCCGTTTGAGATAGGAAACTGGGAAAAGAGAAAGCTGGTAAGTAGAGATGGAAGATTGGAGCTAGTGACAGAAATTTTTCTGGCTAACATTGACCAACGGAGTGAGAAAGCATCAGGTGAAGGTGCCTGTACAGTTCTAGCAGCCGTTATCGCCGATTGGCTGCACCAGAACCCGGGAATCTTACCACTGCGATGCCAATTTGATAAATTGATCAGTGAAGGATCTTCATTGTGGAGAAACCTTTGCAAAGAAGAGACTAATAAGGAGAAATTCTTGGATCAGCACTTTGACCTTGATACTGTCTTACAAGCACAAGTTCGGCCATTGGTGGTGGTTTCTGAGAAGTCCTACGTGGGTTTCTTTGAACTTGAAAATATTCCAAATCAGTTGGAGTTCCTCCAAGGTGCTATGTCTTTTGACACTATATGGGAGGAGCTCCAAAGCAGTCAATCAGCGTCAAAGGAACAAATCTACGTTGTGAGTTGGAATGATCATTTTTTCGTTCTTAAAATAGAAAAGGATGCAATTTACACAATTGACACATTAGGGGAGAGGTTGTTTGAGGGATGCAATAAAGCCTACATAGTGAAGTTCAACAGAGAAAGTAAGGTCCATAGACTGCAACCAGAGACGAGCAATGCAGAGGTGGATTCAGAAAGAAGTGTCGAAAGTCATCCAAATAGTGCGGGAGAAGATGACGAAATTAAAAGTTTCAAGCAATTAATATGTGAAGGCCAGTCTTCCTGCAAAGAGTTTATCAAAGGGTTTCTTGCAGCTCTCCCACTAAGAGAATTGCAAGCTGACATCAAAAGGGGAATCATTGGAGAAGTTCCTCTCCATCATCTCCTGCAAATTGAGTTCCAATACACAATTCCATGCAACAAGAACTCAGACAAACAGGGAGATCAAATCCTAATAGATTAGCCCTGCAGAGTAGTAAGTATGAATGGACTCGTGAATCACTAGATCATGCCTAATGTTCCCCAAAAGTTGGCCCTTCGCTTTATGTGAAAGCTTTAGAAGGATGTACTAATGTTTAAAAAAATAAATAATATTTCTGCAGATTATAGCTGCAGATAAATGAACTCCAAATCATCACATACAAACCTGCTACAGCTATTAATGAAAGTAAATTATATTTTAAATACAGAATACCTGCAATATTCTTTTTTCCCCGTATAAGTAGCATTCTTTATTTCCCCTATAAACATGTTGAGTCAAACTTGCAAAGCACGTGAAGACGCTGCAATGAGAAACTCCTTTCGGCAGATCTAAAATTCTAGAAATAAAGGCTGAAAAAGGAGTATCAAAAACATAAAGAACAAAATAAACAAGCAAACTCGTGCATCTTATTCCAAATGAGCGTATCAAGACACCTTGAAAAATACACTATAGCAAGAAAAATAATTGATGTGATGCATAATTCCCAACATTACTAAGGATTTCACACAAGATCATGTGTTTTATTTCTATTCAAATGGAATCGGTACAGTTACTGTATAACAAGTCAAAACTTTACAGATTCAGAAAGATACTATTGTAGAATTGCAATCATCACCAAATTCTAAAAGACACTCCAAATCACAATTTGAAAGGATAAATGAGGAGTGCAAGATAAGCTGCATATAGAAAACTAATTGGAGGGCAAATACATACAGCAAGTCTATCCTAAATCAAAACTGAACTTGGTTCCAATCTCAAGCAACACTGGAAGCCAGGCTATAGAGAAGTAATGGCAGACTTATGGGCAATGTCATAAACAGATATGAGAATTTCAGCGCCTATCAATATAATAATGAGCCATTCCAGAAAATCTGATTTCCTATTTTGAAGAATCTCCTGAAGAAAGCGAATATTGTGCTGCAAGAAAAAATAAAAATATCACCACTACATTCATGTCAACTGAACACAATTCTCCAATTTGTAAAATATTTTATCAAGAACTCAACGGCAAAAGAAATACTGTACCTCCACAAATTTCAACTTGAAATCAAGACTTTGAAATCTTTGGGTCAATTCAAATTCATCTCTAAGATATTCCCAAATCTGAGCGTATTTGGCATCCTTCCAGGCAATGTCTGATCTGAATAAACCAAAGAATTTTTGACATTTACACCACATAAATGATGCAAGGGCCTATTACAATTATACGATATGAAAAAAAAGGGTAAATGATAGTGATACAAGATTGGACATTTTAGGAAGGTTCGAGTCTCCCCGAGAGCATTGTAGGAGTTCTTTGCCAGGACAAAAAAAAAATTAAAAGAACCAATAAAAACTAATAGTAATATATACTCAAACCTGAAAAACTAATAGTAATTCCTTATATGCATTTTTGTAGGCTTTTCAAAATGATGGGTGCAATGTCAAATTTTGAAATAGTAAATTTGAATTTTTTTGCCATCCATACTTGCTATAAAACTATTACCTTTCAAAAAGTCCAAGCTTAAGAATCACATCAGCTAAATTAGAATTTGCCTTCCCCACTAACTGAAAAAGTTTTTTCCTTTCCATTGTAAAGGTTCCCGTCTTCTCCATCCCACGATTAATGTCAGTGAATTCTGCAACCATTCCGTCAACCTTAAAGGGGAAAAAATATTCTGTGAATACCTTTTACATCAAGCATCATGTGGCTGACCTCATTCATATGGGAATAAGGTAATGATGATGATGACCTTTATATCAAGCATAAACTTTCAAATGTGAACTTTTAAGCAAATATTGTACATACCTGGCGTACATAGTAATCAAGAGCAATACTCTGCCCAAGAACACTGCCAATGGTACGAATTCCATCAATATTTAAGTACTGCAACGTTATGTAATCTAATCCACCTTGCATCCATGTGTCTAATGTTGGCTTCTCTCTCACCTCATACTCTACATTTTGAAACACAAATAATTGTTCAGGCAACTGGAAATTTTGAAATAGAAAAGTGAAGCATCTCACACAGTGCTCAGAAAACTATCAAACCAACCAAAAAACAGATAAAATAACAATAGCGACCGTCTAACCTGAAAGCAAAACAAAGATAATCTAAAAGAACCCTAATCCGTTTCATGTTATAATACTAAAAGAAAATTTAACATATCAATTTACAAAATGTCCCTCATCAGTGGTGTTGAGATTAAAATGGAAATGATTTAGTCCTTTTGAGTTTTGGCAGGGAAGCACATTAACAATAGACTTCCCAAGGATCATGACAGTTGTACACTGACTAGTGTATGGAATTTCTGGATACAAATACAACTGGACAAATGCATCTGTGACCTCTTAAAGAGCTAGAAAGTGTTAGTGACTGCTAGTTAAGGCCAATAGTAAAGGCACTAAGAAATGGTGGTAACTGGAAAGGTGACACTTCATTTGATAAATGAACTTCAAGAAGGGTCTATCTTTCCCAGGCCTCCTTTTTTCTTCTGACTGTGGGGTAAAGGTCTTTCTTTTGCAATTTACAGTTGCAATTTGAGCCACATCAATAGAATTTTATTTACTGACGGTGCTTCACAACAATTCCAAAATATCCATAAGTAAACAGTTCATCCAAGGGATTGATGCAACATCTAGAAATTACATTACAAAAATGAACTTGTAAATAAAAAATCAACTAGGATCCTTCAGACGTGCAGCCACTTCAAACAACTTCAAAATCAGTTAATTAACATATTGACCAAAAATATAAAAGGAGGGTCCAAGTGAATCTCCAGTTGGACTACTTGACCCTTCAGCATCTATTCATTTGTGGCCATTTGAAGGACACAAAACTGACAGTCTTCAGCCTTCATATCAAGGCCCCTTCTAACACCTGACATGATCAATTAGGATCATGCAGAAATTGACCCCTTCAAACAACCTGAAAATAATTGAAATCAAAATATTGACAAGATATAACAGAAGGTTCTACGTCTTTAGTTGGATTACTTGACATTTCAATGTCAATTCATTTGTGGCCATTTGAAAGGACACAAAAATTACCTTTTTCAGCATTTATGCCATAAATGCAAAGAAGATAACAGTTGCAAGCCCCCTTCTTTTTCTTCTCTTTTTTGCTTGATAATTATTATCAATTTCAAGCTATCTGCTCTTGTCTTAACACTAAAGTTATTTTAAGCTAAGTCTTACACTTCTCTTCAATTCCAAATGCTCATTTCTTTTTTTCTTTTTCTTTTTTTTTGATAAGTAATCAGAGAATATAATGGAGGTAAATGTCATCCATTTACATTGGAGAACAACTCCATCTGAAAAGTGGAAAGTCTCAAGCAGAAAGGATGGATATTCGGTTTGATATATGCACATATAAAATCCTTGAAATTATTTTCTCATCAATATATATGATAAGAAGATTCCCAAGAAGTACTTTGTGCAATGATTCTGAAATCAAATAAAACAGCAAAAAATAAAATCAAAAGCAAAAAGAAAAACCGAGAAGACTTGCACTAAAGTTATTTCAAGCTAAGTCTAACACTTCTCTTCAATTCCAAATGCTCATTTCTTTTTTCTTTTTCTTTTTTTTTTTTTTTTTATTTTTTTTTTTTATAAGTAATCAGAGAATATAATGGAGGTAAGTGTCATCCAATTACATTGGAGAACAACTCCATCTGAAAAGTGGAGAAGTCTCAAGCAGAAAGGATGGATATTCGGTTTGATATATGCACAGATAAAATCCTTGAAATCATGTTCTCATCAATATATATGATAAGAAGATTCCCAAGAAGAACTTTGTGCGATGATTCTGAAATCAAATAAAACAGCAAAAAATAAAATCAAAAGCAAAAAGAAAAACCAAGAAGACCAGCCAACTAAAAAGAAGAGGATATGAATGGAGGAAGAGAAGAGGAGCCCCCCAAAGCCCTAAATCGTAGTATTACCCAGATGCACGTTTCACATCGAACTTTAATGTATCATGCATCAAATTAAAAGAAAGTATTAAAGGATTTTTTTCTTTTTTAAGAAAAAGTTTAAAAATTGTAGTTCTTCTATATGAATAATATTATGAAAAGCTTACCATCCTTTCTCATCTCGGGTAGCAATGCTGAAGCATACTTCTCTACAATTTTCAGATATCCATCGACTTCATGATCGGGAACATTAAATAAGACAATTGAGCCATACTGAAAAACTACCATATAACAGCAATCATTTCCACTTAAGCTGGCACCCAAACCCTGAAACAGAGAACATCGTACCATTTTTAGAAAAACTTTCAGTTCGATGTATCATGTACAAGAAAATTAAGAAGCTTTTGGGTTGAAAGTGGAACCAGAAGACTAAATGTGCATCACATGTTGCATTGTCAGATATTATAAATATTATTACTCAGCATCTAGAGAAAGTAGATAAGGCAAGGTGTGACACTAAAACCTACCATGCAGTAAGAAATTAACAAGAGCAACATCCAAACTCAACCATCCTTGGATTTGCTGTCAGCTTAAACCAATCTAATTGATTGTTAAATGTGGAGGTAGTAAAAGAAGTGTCATACAACTCAATCGTACAATACTCCAGATTTCCATAACCTCCCTGAACAGAATGCCCTTCACTCTAAAGAGGATGATGAATAACAGGAAGCATCTCATTCGTACAAGATGTGAAGCTAAATGGTAACATATGGTCAAGGAACCATTATGAGCTATAGGACCATCATATTAACCTCCATTACATGGAAAGGGCTGAAACTAAGGGAAAGGAGAAAGAAAACAGTGCAGTTCTCAGTAAGTCTCATCCGTCCCACAAATATTTTTTTCCTAGTTGGTACACTCACACACACGTCTCTCCTGAAACTTGAACCCTTGACCTCCCTTTGGGAGGTAAGAGGCTGATACCGCTAGGCCACTAGCCCATTGGTCGTCCCACAAATATAATGATTCACCTTATCACAATTACTTCTAGAGAGCACTAAAACTGTCTCCAACCACACTTTGCCTAAGAAACTACATCCCATGCCTAAGAAACTGCATTATCTTTTGTTGTGCTGAGAACAATTGACCACAATACAACAAAAGAGTTAGCCATTTTCCACTTCTCAAATAAAAAATCTGAATTAGTAACTCTACCATCCGATTTCTACATATCAAAATTTAATTTGCACAAGCCAAATTTACAGATAAAACCCAAGCAAGTTATATTCCAACAATTATCGTTTCGGTAACAGATGAATTAAGTTTCAAGCCAGTAAAAAGCTTCAGTATCCTTACTAAAAGTGAATTTTGGATCTTTGCTATTCTTGCTAAAAACGTTAGTAAGCCTGATACTTCAATGGGCACAAACATCATACTTTTATTGTTAGAGCAATTAGATAGCCATTCATTCCTACAAAATCCGTATAGCACAGAATTGACATTTACGAGTGGTCTGAATGTCTGATTCTCTGACATGTGCAAATCTTGGTGAAAAAAATCTCTTGTTTTGATGATATTCATAAATTCCATGAAAATTTTACTAAAGGGTCATTAATTATTGTGGTCTCTACCTGCATTTTCATGCCTTAACAACCCAAGATTTTACCACTGCACCAAGTAGTGGTGCACCTCTGCGTAAAATCTATAGGATATAATGCACAATACAGTAATAACTGTTCAAATTAACAAACAAAAAGCAATCAAACATATTAGACTTGTTTAAGGTCAATAAAACAAGAAGAAAAACTTACATTCGGCTCAGAATTAATAATGCCAAATCTTAGAACAACGTAGTTAGTCATGCGGGAAGTAGGCGGGATGAAGTAGAGTCTGTTCTGTTCCACCAAGCTTCTCAAATCCACACTACACCAAAAAAACCAACATGAAATTCAACATGCCAGTTTATCACTTATAATCCATTTAAATTAACATTTAAGACATGAGTTTTAGTTTCTTAAATTACAAACATATAAAATAATTAATTTTGCTGCAAAATAACAACAAAACAATGCCATGAACACCAGCCACCGGACCTATTTTCTTTAGAAATATCAGCAAAAATTCAATGGACACGACTAAAATGCTTGTTCTGCTTATCAAAACATAATAATACTTCTATGACAAAGGGTTCCATAAGAACAAATCCATTAAGCAAGCCATAACTAGTCACATAAACTCCATAACTAAATAATGAGAATCAAACCTGGTAGAGAAGAAGTAAGCCCTAACTGGAATAGAAGCCCTAATATCCTCCTCACTCACCCCTCCATTGCTCCCATCCCCAACCTCCGAGCACGAAACAGGCTCGTTCCAATCCACTGTATTTGCCGACGAAATCGTTGAAATGCATTTCGCGACGACGAAGCTCGAATCAGAGCCAAAAATGAAACCGCTTCGTGAGTTGAGGTTCGAAAAACGATGGAATTGGCCGAAGTTTAGGGTTTTAGGGAGATAGAATGCAACAGGGCGATTTGGTGGGGGGTTTTGGAGGAGAGTGCTAGGGTTTGAGAGTGTGAGGAGTGTTCTAAATGTATTAAGCTTTGATGTTGAAGAATCGGAAGAGAGAGAGGATGAGAGAGCATTGAACGAACGGTGTCTCCACATCTTCATCTGAGCATCGGTGTTAGCGTGGTGTGGTGCTCGTGTGTGTATAGAGAGAATGTGTTTGGGTGCATTGGTGACCTTCTGCAACTTGTGTTGCGTATGCACAATCTCGGGTGCAATTCGAGCGGGCTAACCCAATTTTTTCAAGGGTTTTGTTTTGAACCACTATTTTTACAGTACTAGTAATGAATTAGGACCCGAATCCAATTTATGTAAAATGGGTGTGGACATCACTCGCATATAAATTGAATTTGCTACACTATAAATCATTATTTCTATTTTTTATACCAAGAGACCATAAGGTTTGAATTTTGGATTTCATTTATTTTTTTATTAATGAGAAATACACAACATTCACACACCTAAGTTGTCACTTTGGAGATTCGAACTTTCACCGTCCATTTTAAAAAATATATAAAGTATCATTAAATCACAAACTTTTATATTGGATTTTGTATTGAATTGTCTTAATTTGTTTTGACCTAAAATATATATTTTTCATACAAAACTTTTTCATGTGAATGTTTTTATTTTTTTCTATTTTTTGGTGTTTGATGATAAGTTTAAAAATATTTTTTGAGATTTTTTTTTTTTAAAATATTGGGTACAAATGGAATCCAAAATATAGGCACATATAAGCTATTGTTATTATGAAAACTTCCCATTATAGTGTCATTGTACACATGTTAAACTACTTATTAGTACTTACAAATTTCATTTTCTGATTCGACGTACTTGAAGAATTAAATGAAAATAAACTTCCAATACCTTTGAGTAACTATACTGAAAAAGAGATCAAAGGTTTCATTACGTACACAATCAGATAATTTTGGGAAAAGTTCTGTTAATTTTTAGTTAAGTAGAAAAAAGAGAGAAAATGAATAACAGTATAACCTCACCTCATTTTAAGCAGGGAAAAATAAATCAACTTATTCAATGTCACACACCGGATTTAGGTAAAGAAAAGAATGATATTTTTTATGAGAGTTGTACATATAGCTTTGATGTAGTAATGAATTGTTTTGTGTTAATGGAAATATGGGTTGGAGTGTTAGTTTGAATTAGAATTGCAATGCATGTTTGTTTAAATTTAGAGAAGATATTTAGTGTGCCGGGCATGCTACGTCATTGGTATGTCAGATAACAATTATATTGATTCTCATTAGGTAGGTATACCAATGATTTGAAACATTAAAGCTGACCCTTTGTCATATTTGAAATGTAAGTAGAGAACAAAATAAATGAAATAATTATTTTTTTTTGCTTTTACTTTGTGTACATTAAGGGATAAAACACAATTTCATTTATTTTGAATAATAATTAAAAAATAAAAAATAAAAAAAGACTACTGTATTTAACTGGTTAGGTTCTTTCTCCTCCCTCATCATTTCCTCTCTCTTAATTGTAGAAACAAACACAGAATAAGTTATCCATCATTCTCACCTTTCTTTTCCATCCAACTCATTCAATCAGGATGCTCTCTGTCACAATGCATATGTTTTCCAACCAAAAAATCCCAGGATGAATTCAATCCTTAGTATAGGGATTTTCTTCCAAGAATGTATCAATTAGGGAATGTTCAGAGGTTATTTTCATAACAGGAAAATATCAAAAGCCAAGCCGAACCGAGCTCAATCTCTCTAAAATCACACAAATCAAGCTTGAACACACATTGAAAGGAGCTTAATTGTCCAAGTTTGAGCCAAGCTCCAGAAAGAAACAATATTACTTAGATTGGCTCGATTAATATGGAGTCCTAGCCACACAAATCATAAACAAATAAAAAAAAATTCGTATGCTACTTTAATTGGTCTACCTTCCTGCCCACCTGAACTTCCAAAGAAATGTAGTCAAATTGTTGTATGCACAGTATCTTTTTAGCCCTTGAAATTGTGGAAATGAAAAGTGCTATATGAGGGAGTTGAAGGCCAGTTTCTGTGGGCTTTTGTCATGTCATGTGTGGATTTAGCGGCGGAAATGTAGTTGACAAAGCAGTGGCAGAAGAGAATCCTGATGATGCTGCATTAGAGAATAGCGGCAGTGGCACGGGGTTGAACATGCCTTGACCTTGCATTTGCCATGTCCATTTTGAGAATACTGGAGAGGGAATAGCTTCACTCCCCTTTCTTATTGCTCTTTCCTGTCAAAAACACCAAAAAAAAAAAAAAAAAAAAAGGGGAAATCGCCATCATTTGTAGCATATCTTAGTCAATAATTGCTTCTTGTTGTTGAGGGTGGTTTTCTCATTGAAGTGTTAAGCAAAGCAAAGTTGGCTCATCTCACACTGCACTATATAGGAAAAGGGAGGGTAATAAAACGCGAACAAAAAGCATGGTTTAGGAGCAGCCTTGGCACTATAACATGCTCAGTGGAGAAGAGGGGCACCAGATATAGCTCATTGATGTCATGAAGTCGCGATATACTGATAAAATACATTCCTGAATTAAGGTCCATAACTAAACACAACATTAAGTCGTGACTGCGGCGCATGTATAGAGAAAGATTTCTATTGTTACCATGTTAATTAGAGCATTCCTATACATTTCCATATTTTGGCATATAAAGAATTTTGTGTTATGGTAAAAATGTTAACATTGACACAGTGACAAAAATGTGGAGGCCATTAAGCAGCCCTCCTCAGCAATTTCTAACTCCATTATGTTTACGGTAAAGGAAACAAGCATTGCCTGAAAGTTCTAATTTAGTTAGAGAAGGTTTCTTAGGAGGCTAAGCTTAAGTTAAGAATACAGCTAATTGTTGAAGGCAATTTCGGTGAAGTAAAAGAAATAATGATTACTGTATATACAAGTCTATGCAAGGAAGCAGACATATCATGGATGGTTGCTTAGCAAACTCTTGAAATGATGGAAATTATTATTGTGCCTTCTATCATATAGTCGAAGATATTCACCTCATAGTTTGTGGGATACATGCTAGACCACATGGGAGGATGCTTTGATGGCATAAGACCATGGGGAATTTGTAACCCCATAGGAGCAGAAACAGAGCTCTCAACCTATGCAATAACACAAAAGGGTTTTGAACCATCAATAAGTTAAACAGGATAAAAATAACCACAAAAATTTTGACCTCCAAAATGGTGGAATAACCAAGTTGTATGGGGATTCTTAAATTTCTACTATAACAATGAGAGTTTCTAAGGATAAAGGGTTGATGAAAACGCGTCAGCAAGATAACAAGAATACCTTTGATCTTTTTCCATCAGGCATTTCAGAAGAAGCGCAATGGAAGTTCAGATCTCTGATGTTGTTGTTGCTCTTAGGACCATACGAAGGGGATGAAATCCAGAGATTCAGATCAAGATTGTGGCCAGTGACTGCACATATACAATTAGGAAATCCGTCGTACATATAAGCTAACAGAGAATCCCTCGGTTCAATTACAAGCAAACCCCAAAAAACTTTTCATTTCATAAATCATAAAAACAGATAGAAATGAAATGATAATACCTCCATCATTGGCACCCAGAACTCTCCCCACTTCGTTGGTACTAGGCTCAAAGTTGGTGACAGCTTCCCGTCCATTGCATTCGATGGTTGCTTTATCATAGGCCCTGGATTCAGAAAAAAGAAACGGATATTTTGTTGGATGAACCCAAGAAAATTTAAGATGTCAGAGCAAGAAATTCAGTGTGGAGTATGCATTGATGAATGCTAGTACCTTGCAGCTTCCTCTTCATTGTCAAATAACCCAAGATACATATACCTGCAAGAAATCATCATAATATCATAGATAAGGAGTGTCCCATAGCATTTCTTCTTCAAAATAACCATCCTACATTTCATCTTTGCTAACTACAATATGAAAGTTCACAATGATAAGTTTCTCAAAAACCAAATTAGTGTTCACCAAACTGTGTGCAAGTTTCTAAATTAACTTCTACATCTCTATTAGTTGAAGTTTAAACTTGTAATGGCAATAAAATGAACATAAGTTTAGTGGCTTCTCACTTTTTCCCTAGTAATTGACCCATCCGAGCTTCCCATCGACCACATTTGTGTAGGGTCACTCCTCTATATTTTGAGCTTCCCCGAGAGAACCCAGTGCCTTGGCGACGGAGTACTTGCACACACTCTTCTTTAGTTAGGTTCTCCATCTGCATAACAACTTAAAAGAAATAAATATGCAATACAAATTGCCTCAGAAAAAACTACCAGCCAGTAGTCATCAATGCTATTCCACCTGTTTCATATCTTCCTTGTAATCACTTATATTGAAATTGATATCAGCATCAACTCCCCTAAATTTGATTGCAGCACGATCATACACTCTGAATATTAATAAATTGAATTATGAGAAATTCACACAACCACCAAACCATCCAAAATTTAAGTGTTTAAACTCCCAAATGGAGTCTCACCTAGCAGCCACATGAGCAGTGTCAAATCCACCTAAATCAACCGGCATAGAAATTAATTAAACAACACCATCTATTGATGTAATTCACAAATGATTCTCTCTACACATATATATTCAAAATGAAGCAAATAGATCAGGTTTTACCCAAGTACACTTGCTTCCCACAATCCCTGCACACACAAATACAAATTCAATTAAGATCATGCAAGGAGAGGAACATTGGAGACATGAACAATCTGAATTCACTAATTAACACAATCATTCGATATATAAATTATCTCATTCCATCAACAGGTACATACATACATACATACATATATATATATATATATATATATATATATGGACAAACAGATAAGCATATGTTACCAGATATGTGATTCCCATCGTCCAGTTCTCCTGTAAAACGTAACTCCGCGGTACTGTGAGCTCCGAGACCTTGGCCCTCTCCGGCTCTTCGTCTTCTGCTGCTTTGGTTGCTGAGAACTTCTCAATTCTGGCTCTAAAGCTGACTCCGGAGCCGAGAGATTCAACCATTGTGACCGCAACAAAGACATGGCTGAAGATGATCCAGAGACAAAACCCGTCGAATCACCAATATCTCCGTCTCCGGCGACCGGGAAAAGTTGCATTGTAACTAAGGGCGAAGCCGAATTATCATCGCATTCGGCTTCGATCTCGATAATGTTTACGGTGCTATCTTTGCCTTTGTTTAAGATATCGAAATTGAAAGGAGAGATGGAGTCTTCGTCTCCTCCAATTTTGGGAGCTTCGTCGGAGTTGATGACAGAGGAATTTGGAGTTCCTGAATCATCCATTTGAGCTCCGACACCTCGCGGAAGCTTCTCGATTGTGATCATTGCCTTGCTTTCACCGCAAGTTGAATCTACAGAGTCTATATCAACATTGAGATCCAACATTTCTCTCTATGTGTGTGTGTGTGTTTAGTTTCTGATTATATTGATCTTCAAGGCATAGTTGCTTCCATAGAGCATTGAAATTTTAATTCACAGAAAGCTATCACGATGGTGATGAGAGAGGGAGTGGTGGGATCGGCAAAATTGAATTGAACAAATGAGGAAAAAACAGATATAGAAATTAAGAGAGAGGGAGAGAGAGAGAAAATTGAGAGTGAAACTTGTGTTGCTGTCTCTGTAACGGCCAGCGAACAGAGAATTGCCAAACTGAGAGGTCAGTTGCATTTTAGAGAGAGAAAGAGAGGGGCCGAGTGATGGTGATGAAATTAACGGCCATTTGTCGGGTTTTGTGGGAAGAGGAGAGACAAATGTATATATGGAGAGAGAGAGAGAGAGAGAGAGAGGACTACGAAAGAAAATTAGCGTTTGCGTTTGTGTTAGTGTGTGTGTGTGTGTGTGTGAGGGGTAATAAGGTAAACAGGGTGTGAAGACGGTAAGCTTGTGAATGAAAGCAACATATACGACGTGGGAACTGTGAGCGAAGGTAATATCATTTTTTTATTATTATTATTTTTTTATAAGGCAAGAAGAAATAGAAGTTAAATTAGTAAATACAGTGAGTCGAAACTTAATATTTCAAAATTTACTGAAGGCACTAACACATTTGACTATTGAGGCATATGCAAGGTAATATCCTTTCAATTTACTCAAACCCTAAACATTTTTAGCTTTTAACAATATATAGTTATTTTTTATTTAACAAATTTGATATATCCATTTTGGACTCTAGTCTTCTAGTACGAGTTGACAAATATCATTTTATTCTTTAAATATTTTTTTTTAAAAAAAAGGAATTATATTGGGATGAAATTTTAATTGCAAAGAAGATAAATATTGCTCTAAATAATGTTTTTGCTTAATTAAAAAAAAAAAAAACAAGGAGATTATTGTAAGAAAATATTGAGTATTTGAGAGGACCGGGGTCAATATCCGACTATATAGTAGTGGGACCAATGTATGCTTGTTATTTTTCTTAATGATAAGATGTAGAATACCAATACTCTAGCTGACCACGTTAACCTATTTATTGAGCTGAAGCAATCAAAGCCCACTGTAAAGCTTATTAGTTATTACCCATGTTTGGCATTTCAAAGCATCAAAGATCTTAATTGTTTCAGCTCGGCATAACTAACGAGTTAAGAGGGTTACGCCTTCAAATCAACTCTTTGAGAAATAATCGATGATGGGATTATTGCATTATTCATGCTCTTAAATAACATGAACAATACATGTCTCGATATGTGCTTTAATTATATATCATATCATATTGGACGTAACCCTTTATGATCTAAACCAGAATGCAGTTCAATCAAGAAATTAAATTGGGATAATTACACTTACTTCCTTTGTAGATTATCTAAATAATACACCATTCTTTCGAATTTTAAATATAACATTGACCTCCCATCTAGTCCTAATATGATACGAGTAACATTAATTTTCATGTCATAAAATTTGACCTCTTATCTACTAATGTCATACTCAATATTTTACTTAAAAAAATTCGAAAATACCCTTTTAAAAGACTGTTTTACGTATAAAGGAACATACATTTTATATTTTAAAAAGGCATATAACAGTTATTAAACACATTCGATACAAGTCAACATTTACAAGTAATATTTTACGAAGGTAAAAGTAATTATTCTAATTAATTACACGAATGGATAATTTTTTTGTTGTTTGACTTGTGTGAAGCTTAAGCACACTCTTATCATGGACAAAGTTATGTTAAAATCAGTAGTAGATTTTAAATTTAAAGGAATCAAATGTGACTAAATTTTATTCCAAATTGGCATCAATTTTGTTGGGACCAAAATTTATTCTTAATTGGAATCAATTTGGTCCGATGGAAGCAAGTAAAAGATTTATCTGGACAAAGTTTGGCAACTTATTAATTGAACCAAGACAACACAAAAATCCAAATGCAGGGTCGACTATGACAGACCAATTATTTTTGTCCTCTGTGTAAGTTATAGGCATGTGATCTTCATTTGTAGCACTGGTGAGTCACCTATACAAAGTCGGTGGTATAGACTAATAGGTCACTGTATCAAATCTATCGTAACAATAGTAAGATGACAATGAAAATTTTTAGGAGAAAGGGGTCATTTTCTTTTTTTAAATATATAACAAAATATGTTCCTAGTGACAAAAGGCTATGATATATAAATTATATAATATTATGTTAAGAAAATTGCTACTAAACATGTTGGTATTTCTCTAATATTATTATTATTATTATTATTATTTTATATATATATATATATATATATATATATAAATAACACAGAGATTCACATAAGTACATAAAAATAAGGACGGAGCCAACATGTGCCCAAAACCATGGCCCCATTAATATATTTAAAAAAAAAAAAAAAACTTAGCAATATAATTTATAAAGTTTTTAAATTATTCTTTTCTAGAAACTTCTCTAATCCTCTTGTTCTTTTCAATCTTACTCTTCGTCTTATTGTATTTCAATTTTTTTTCTTATTTGTTTCAAAACATTTGCATTCTCTTTATTCAATTTAACTTTTTTTTTTTTTTTTTACAAAGTTCTCTCATATATTTTTTTCTTCACTTGTTTTTATTATTGAAACTGAACAATTATAATGAGAAATTTTTTCAAAAAAAAATCAAAATAATGTAAATCCCCTTTTTTTAAAAAATCATTTTTTTTTTCTTATGAAACATTGTGCAACAAATTTTAGTAACCAACAAGAATATTTCGAAGAATAATGTTTTTTGAAAATACTTTAAAATTTGTTAAAATAATAAGGGTAAAATTGAGATCTCACATTTTGTGCTTCCTCTACTTTCTTATGAACTAAAATGCTATTTGAATTATTTTCTACTTACCTTGAAAGAACCGAAAAGACAAGGAAGGGGAGGAGAGAGAAAGAGAAAGAGATGGAGATGGTGTGTTTGGTAAGGTTGATTTGGAGGGACAGGAAAAAAAAAAAAAAAAAAAGAAAAGAAAAAGAAAAAGAATAACGTAAATTTGTGTTTGGGTAAGTTAAGTGGAGGAATAGGGAGTGATAGATATCCCTCTTTATCTCTTATTTGCTTTTTCTTCAATTTTGAGAAGATAGGGAGAGAAAGCATAGTGATTTTAACTGGTATTTTGATAATATCAAAATTAGTCTTCACAAATCAATATACAGATTTATTATTCCAGTTCTATGGTTATGAAAAGGTAAAAAAGTAATTTGTCTATTATCCTTTCTTTTCTTTTCTCCCCTATCTATCCAAACACAAATAGAAATTATTACTACCCTTTCTTTTCTTTTCTTTTCTTTTATAACTAATACTATCATTTCTTTTCTTTTCTCCCCAATCTATCCAAACACACACTTAGTGACGCTATTGACGATGAAGCACGCACGCTATTAAATTGACAAATAAAATTCACATGTTCAACTTGTGGACTTCATAAATCAGCATTGAATTTGCACAATAATGGACCTAGATAGCATAGTTATACTAAAACAAATAAATCATTGTGGACAAGGTTGACCATATAATAATTTAATTATTTTCTTCATTAGTGCTATGTCAACTTAATTATTTCTAAATTCAATTATACCACTATTCTGAAACATTTTTAAATTTGACGACATAGATTGATCTTTAACTCCCAAAATAGGGTCCACAAAAATCAAACATGTTTAACCTACATAAATTTTTTTATTTTTAACCCAATATAGTTACAATAACACGTACCAACATAAAACATTTTTGGATAACAACTTTTGATTATTTTGATAAATATGATTCAAATTTCACACAACTTATTAAATTTGGAGTTAACTCAAACCCCCTTCCTTTTCTTGATGAGTTTGAACAGTCCAAAATCCATTTGGATTGAATTTGAATTGTGGTACCGGACTCGATCTAAACCAAAAGATAGTGGAAGATGACAGTATATTTATTTTGAAGTTTTTTAAATCTTATGTGTATATATACTGTAAAGCTTTCATACGGTCCAAAACAACGGCTTGCATTTATTTAATTTCTTTTATGTGATTTTTATTTTGTCTTTCATAAAAATGCTATGGTATGTCATTTTATGTTTTATGAATTAAATTTGCTTTCATTTATATAACTGCTTTGTTTTTCTTAATTTATGTTGGGTGCCTCTTAATATTAGGTAGACTTGGGGTCGTCATACATGGAGTTTTTGTGTGTTTAGAGTTGTTAGTGGAGAAAAATGAAATTACATCAAAGTTTCTTATTATTAGTGGTGAAGATGGTGGCTTCGATGGATGTAGATATGGTAATGGTTGAGATTGCAAAAAAGATGGAAGAGATTAAGGAAGAAAGAGATTGAATAAATGCATTGATTAATTATGATAAATTAACTATTATTAACTATGATTAAGTTCGATAAAGATTAATTGAATTTTGGTTCGTTGAAAAATTTATTATTTTGGATGGCATAAAAACCTTATTGTGTAATGTGTGTGTGTGTGTATATATATATATTTTTTGAAGCAAATTTTAAATCTTTACAGATTGACTGAATGTTGCAAGGTTGGACTGTGCGGGGCCCATGCCCTCTAACAGTGCATTTGGACATTCAGCAAACAATTTCACTTCTTTGAATAAAGGGTATATTTATAACTTCAAAGTATGAGAAAGAAAAACAATTAGTAATAAATTTGACATTTCAAAAATAAAATTATATTTCATTAAACAAAAATGATATTCAACAATTCGTTACTCTTAAACCCCACTTGCTCCTTTTAGGAGTGAAAAAGCTCAAAAAATAAAATAAAAAAATAAAAAAATACAGTCATATTCAACCTTTGATTCATGTCATATTTTGTCAAGACAAAAATTAGTTGAATCATATTCAAAATTACGATTTGATGGATGGAAAATTGTTCGAATGCCGAATGTATACAATTTTAAAATATAAAGACAGATTGAAACTCTATTTTCAAATTAATCTTCACCTTTGACTTCCATCTCTGTTTTATTCAGTTAAGCAAATTTTTTTATTTGCTTCCTCCATATTTTTAAATCTATATATCCCATCATCCTTCCTGGTGAACGGTTAAAATGCATTATAACAAATTATTAAGATTTACTTTATAACTGAATGTATGTAAATTTTAGAGAGGGTTGACTTTCTTTCTCTATATTCTTAAATCCCATCTATGTATAGGCATCCTCCAGATGAGACGGTTAGCATGCATTACAATCAAAGGTTAAAATTTATTTTTTGGGAATTTTCCACCTAAATGTATACATGTTTACAAACTCTTTACTCTTCTCCAATCTATCCATTTCAACTGATTTCTTTAATATTCTAGAATCCTCGTCTTTCTACACT